CTAAATTTTTAAGCAAGTTCAACAGTTTAATCAAAGATCAATTATTTTTTGGAAGCCAAAGCATTTTCATCTTTGAGCAATAAAAAAAATATTAATTATTAATTCAACTTTTTTTAAGTAAGTTCAGTCAAGTATGTTCTTTGATCCTCTTATTTGTGATATTAAAGAAAATTCTTTAAAATCTCATGATACTTCTAAGTTTGAATTCAAAAATAATCTATTTTATTTTCAAAGGTGCTTATATTATCTAAAAGATTAAGCATGATTATATGTCTTTCAAGCTCGTCACAACTTTCCAATAATAAGATATTTTGGATACAATAAGACTTTAGAGCTAATATCTAGAGATTTTTTATGACCTTAAATGTAGAAGGAAGTCAAAGACTTTGTATAATGATGTGGCATTTATTCAAGATCGAAAACTCTTTGTCATCAACGTTACAAATTTCTTCAATAATTATCTATTCTAAAATAACTATAGTCTTTTGTTTCTATGGATTTTATCATAGATCTTTTAATCTCATATTCTTACAACTTTATATTTATGATAATAGATTCTTTCACTAAGATGGCATATTTTGTATCACATTCAAAATCTATCACAAGTAAAGAAATAACTAAGCTTTTCAATAAGAATATTAATTGCTATAATGGATTGCCTAAAGATATTATATTGAATAAGAAGCCTCAATTTATATCAAGATTTTGAAGAATTTTTTTTCAAGATTCTCAAAAAAGACATAAAACTATCTTTGATTTTTCATCTTCAAATTAATGGGCAAATAAAGTGCATAAATCAAGTTTTGAAGTAGTATTTGAAATATACCATCAATTATCAAAAAGATAATTTGACAACTCTTTTGCCATTAGTAGAGTTTTCTTATAATAATACAATACATTCTTCTACTCAATAAATATCTTTCTTTCTTAATTATGATTATCATTCAAGATTTGATGATTTGGATTTTTCAAAAGTTGATAATCTTATGATAGAAGATTTAAAAAATTATTTATTTGAGCTATATACAATAATTAAATCATAAATAAAAGAAGAATAAGAATAATAAAAAATCAATACAAATGTTTAATTATAAAAAAACAACCTTAATTCTATATAAGCAATAAGATATGGTTATTTTATTGTAATACTTTGTCTTTGTGATAAATTGAATTATTGTAGACTTAGACCATTTTTTGTATATAAACATGTCAATTTAATTGCTTATTAGCTATATTTAGTAGAATCTATGAAGATATATCTTATATTTCATATATTTCTTCTTAAACCATATAAAACAATGAACTTCTCAAAAAGAAGACAAATGTCATTGCCTCCTATACATATGGATGAAAATGAAGAATTTGAGGTGAAAAAAGTCTTAGACCCAAGGTGATGCCAATTTAGATTGAAATATCTTACTGATTAGTATATATATAATATTAATGAATGCAGATAGAAGCCAACAAAGAATCTTGCAAATTCAACAGAGGAGATCAAAGCTTTTCATCAATGACATCCATCAAACTAAGATGAAGAATTAAACAAATCTTTGCTATAAAAGAAATGATATTTAATGAAGATTGCACTCTATCTTTTATTCTTTATTGTAATTTTTTTTTGTATTAGTAATGCTAACAAGATGGAGAACCATTAACTAATAGATTCAACTCAAAAGCTATCATTTGTCTACTTGCTGGATAAGATATTGTAATTGTTATAACCTTTATGATGATGTAATAGAAATAAAGATGTTCAAGAATAACATGTTCTTTCTTAAATAGATGATAAGATATAATGCATTTGATATTATGACCTTAGAAGAAACTCTTGATGTTTGGTGATTTTATTAGAGGTAAAAATAATTCATGGTAGTGTTACAAATATTTTTTTTGAAGGAAGTTACAAAGGTTTTAGTAATGATCAAATTATAGAGTGGTCTTTTTGCTCTAGAATAAAAAATTATTGACCGTTGATAGGACTTATCAACTATCTTGAAATGAAATAAAGATCAAAATATGTGGCAAATAAAATTTATTGTATCTTGGATTTCATCAATATATGATCATCACTTCTCAAGAAACTCATTTCTAGAAGGGAGGTAATATCATAGATATACTCATTTATGTGAATAGTTATTTAGATAATATAAATAGATAAAAATAGATAAAAATATATTAATTTGATAATATCTTAGAGAAAAGCTTCTTAAAAGCTTTATAGATATAATTTTACCTTTATATATATCTAAAGGTGGTTGATAGATTAAACACTTGGCTAACAAATTAATCACATGTCATGCGTATTTGTAGCTTATGGTATAAGCTAATAATATGGTAAATATATAAGAAACTTATCTTGCAAGTTAAGACACATATCTCATAAATTGGATACGTATTGGATGTCTTGTAGAACATCACCACATAGCTCTTGGCAAGATAATATATATAGGAATAAGAGTGAAGCCTTCTTTACTCTTGTCAATTCTTTTCTTGCTTCTAATTTAGTTTCAATGATCTTTAGTTTTCTTATCTTTTGGTAATAGCTATTTTAGTATCTTTTGAATATACATACTTTTTTATTTCAATTTTATCATCTTCTTTTGAAAAAAGTCTCACTTGTTTATTAACCTTCATTAAGTTCTTGTCATTGATAATAAGTTATAAAGATTTTTTTTAGATTTCTTTTTAATAAAAATATAATAAAATTTCAATATAGACACTTATATATATATATATATATATATATATATATTTATGTTGATTATTAATTTGAAAAAATAAATACATATACTATTATAAGTTGTAATTGTAAAATTCATGTATGTATTATAAATAATTTCAGTAATGATATACAAAACTTATTCAAATTGATTATGTTTATATCAATTAAGGGTTTTTATAAATTAGTATATAAAAATAGTATATAATTATAAAATTAATTTTATAAATAATTTAAGAAGATTTTTAAAAAGTTATATTGAAAATATTAAATTATAATTTTTTAAAATATTATATTGTTTTTAAAATTTTAAATAAACCTAAGAGCTTAAAAAATATTTTTAATCAAATTACAAATGATTTTATTTTTTAATTAGATTTATATAAATACATTCTAAATACTAATAAAATAAGAAAATTGTTAGGTGGACACTTCCATTTTATTGTGTAGAAACCCCCTCCCTTCCTTGCCACACACCCCTGCATGTACTTAATAATATCATTGTCATATCATTATTTTCACATTTCCTTTTTATTATTATTATTCTACATGTCTTTATAAGTTTTAGATTTGAAGCTTAAAATATATATTTTTAAATTTATATATTTATAAATTGAAAGTAAAAAACTACAAATCCAAAACTTGTAAACAAATACATAATAAAAATAAATAAATAAATGAGGGTATAACAATAATGTTGCTGTGTGTATGCAAGGGCATATGGCATGGAAGGGATGTCACCTAATAAAAAGGAGATGTCTACCTAATAATTTTAAAACAACACATTTTGTAGTATTTTCCTTGTTCCCTTTTCTAACTTTTATTTTTCAAATATATAAGTAATTATTAATTTCTTGTATGCAAATAAAATATATTGGCATTTATGAAAATCATGTATGAAGTAGTAATTAGATAATTTATTATATGTTTATCAAGCATTGTATAAGTAATTTAACTATGTCTTTACTGTTGCCTTAAAAGAGTTTAGTTTTTATTATGCATTTATAATACTTTGATTATAAATAAATGAAATAATACTCACATTTTAGTTTTGTGTTTTGATACATTAAAAAAATATATATGCAAGTCTGATGGAAGATCTAAAAACAACTGTCAATCATTCTTAAAGGCAGATTTTTAAAATTAATTGTTATTTAAATGGATAAAAATTTGTAAATATTACATTATAAGCAGAAAAGATAAACGAAAAATTGAAATGAAACCATATACATATACATATATATATATATATATATACATAAATGAAATTTAATATTATATAAGTAATATTAATATTATATATATATATATATATATATATATATATATATATATATTTTTATAAAGTTTGGTCAAAGAGACCTATTTCATGATCATTACCAACTTAATATTGTATTGAACTTAATGCTATTTTTTTTATCTACTTTGAAATTACATTGATGTTATTGTAGTTACTTCATTTATAATTTTAGCAATATATAGTATTCTCCTTCTTAATTAATCCTCTAAATACTAATAATCTCGAATAATTAATCAAAATTTTAGGAACTTATCCTGTTCTATGGTGAATAATTAATGAACTCTAATTTCTAATAATTAATAGATTTTTATTGATTTTTTATATCAACGTCAATAATTAAAACAGGAAGCATGGCTGGCAAAGCAACATTTTTTGAAGAAGTTTTATGGATATTATGCCAATTAAAAGTTTATTTTATGTTATGCTATTTTAATTATTCATTAATTGAAATAGATAGATTGAGTTGTAATTGTTAAAGAATATTCAATCAATCCACATATTAAAAAAGTATCATTTCTTTGTACATTTTTCAATCACATGATTTTAGATTTTGGATTTTTTTTAACATATTATTCAGTATCTGAACTAAATTTTTAATATTTAATTACGAACATGTTTTATGAAAATAAAAACAAATTCTCAAATAATTTATTATATACTTAATTTAATTTAATTTAATTACTTAAAATTTTGTTTTGTTTATAAATTTGATTACTTTAAAGCTTGGATTATTAGAATAAAATCAAAACATATTTTGAAGTGTGTAAATTTGATTCATTGAATAAAAAAAAATACCAAAAAGAAAAATTCCTCAATTCTAGAATATGCAGATTCTCACACACATGCGTATCTAAGAACATGTCTCGTAGAAGGCCACGTGACTTGATCCTGCGACCCACGGACGCCGTCCACAATTTTATCGAGAACCTTCTCTGACCAAAGGTCGGCACAGCCATGGAGTTTCTTAAACCCTAAAATGCTCGAAGCCTGGTCGAGGCCCCATTTGCGTCGAGGTTGCATCAAGAGGTCTCTGAATTAGACCCGCTGTAGATTGTGCAGAATTTCCTCTTTCGCTTCTTCGTACTCGGTCGTGACTCCTGTTTCAATGTCCTAGTGGATGGAAATCTAGCAAGCCAAAATTCGCCGAACAGGGAACAGAAGCGGTTCAGTTTTGAGGAGGAATTGTGGCAGAAAGTGCAGGAAGATTGAGGCGGTGTTGTGGGAGCTTCAATGAGGCGAAGGATTCTTTAGGTTGCATATATGTTCCTCTACTTGGCGAATTTCATTTTTACGGGCTAGGGTGGGTGTGCTATTGGCCCTACAGCGAGAGAGAGAGAGAGAGAGAGAGAGAGAGAGAGAGCTTGATTTGAAAGTCGTGGACACGATTTTAAGGCTTGTCAGAATTGGAATATCAGAGGGCTGTGGATTCTCTTTAGTTTGTGAAAGTCGTGGAACTGGAGGAAAATTGCAGGTTTGGTCGAAGTTAAAGCGCGCGCCAGGGGCGCATTTGCAGGACAAGTAATTACGGGTAAATTCTGATAAGATGTCATCGCAAAGGTCGGCAGCGCTGGCACGTCGGCTGCGTCGCAATTTCGTAAGTTTTGGTGCTACTGGAATACTTTTGTTCATCGTATTGAACGCGACGTGTGGTCTCATTATCACGATTTGGGTTTTGTTTGAGGATTCTTGTGTCTGTTAGACCATCTCTTATTCTTTTTTCGGTCAATTATAACCCGTATTTATTTCTTTTCCTTCTTTTTAATGGCATTTTCATGAGAATTTACCTTGTAGATCTTTCACTGTAGTGTCAAGCTAATGAAAACTCTTTATTATCCTTGAATGCCCTTGTTACAGTTTCCCGACTGGTCTTGTGGGACTCTGCAAACTTGGTGGAAGTGATTCCCTGCAAAATGAAGATTACTTAATTTGTGTTTCAAATGTGGTCTGTAACCAGAGCTGTTTTATCCCTGCTCTCCTCAGGGACGAGTTCTGACACAGCATCTGACGTCGCAATGGTTGTGACGTGCAGCAGGAAGTTTTGACAGATCAGGTTACTTCTAGCGCTCAGGGACGCAAGAGTGATAGTATTTTAGGGCACAGCAAGGCATTCTCAGCATCAAGCATTCAGGGGCAAAATATATCTAGGAGATGGGCACACCGCATTGGATTGTTGAAATCAGGAATTGCCGACTATGTAGTAACAAAAACAGCGCTTGACAGGTTTGGCACTTCTAGGCGATGTATTCATGAAATTGCAAGAAGGAATGGGAGCGGCACTGCTGGAAGGGCTGTTCTTCAGAATCTTGGAAGCAAGAGATCGTTATGTTCTGAAATCCCTAAGAAGAAAGGTGAAGAATTGTAAATTCAACTTGTTTGTAATGCTCGACGATCTTCGGTTTGATTACTCGCTTGAAAGTCCACATCTTTGTGTGCAATGCTGGATTTTTGGAGAATTTTCTCGGTTATGTTGTGGGACTAAATTGCAATTGAGGGTTAATACGCCATTCTTGGTTTTAAATTTTGAGGAAGTGTTGGTGACCTCGAAGAATTCGATGCGTCCTTTGAAAGATTTGCAAGCTTAAGAGGTTTAATTACTCTCAAGAGATTCTGGTATTTTTATGTTCGATTAGTATTTTGAACATGAAAAGATTGACTGTGCAGGGTTTGAGAATTATTATCCGAAGAACCGGAAGGAAATTCCCGAAGGTCGGAACGAGCCGAAATCGGAGCAGAAAGGAGGTGAATTTTTAATATCAAAGACTTCCGAATGTCTATTACAGTTAAAACCTTGTCTCTCGAAATTGTTGTTGTGTATGTTTTTCTGTTTATATATATATATATATATATACACGTGTGTGTTCAAAAGCATGGCTGTGCCTAATACTGCATACAAAAGTTGGAAATGTTTTTCTGTTGTCTCATGCTTTACTCAATATTTCAGAGCAAGAATCCAAGCAAGAGGGCGACAAGATGTCTACAGAGACGTCTAAGTCACAAATACAGTCTCTAATCGCCACTGGTGCTGCAACAGTGGCCATTCTTACCTCTCTTTCCATGGGCCGTAGTGATGCTCAGCAGGTATCCCCTAATTGTTTATTATCAACTTTTATCATGCCACTGAGCCACGTGCTATGAAATAGTAACGACTGTGTTACAGAATCAGCCGTGATGCTGTAAAAGCCACTCGTTGAGGCATTCACGCCACATGTTATTGTTTCTATAAATCATGTTCGATTTCCTAATTTGATATTTATTGAAAACTACTTGTTCTTGTAAAATATGTTGTTATTTGCGAAGCACGTGGTTATTGTTTTTCTGCTTTGGCAGTATGAATTAGTCTAAGTTCTCTCTGATGGTAAATTTGAAGCAGATCAGTTTTCAGGAGTTCAAGAACAAGTTGCTGGAATCGGGTCTAGTCGACAGAATCGAAATCACTAACAAAAGCCTAGCCAAAGTATATGTTTATAGAGGTGATACTGACAGTCCTTTCCTGAATCGGGGGGGGGGGGATTTCCCATTTTATTTGGTATTAATGAATTGTTTTTCAACGATCTTCGAACATGTTCACCGGTTGTGCTTGTTTTTCTTTGCCCTCTTGGCGTGGGAATGTGCTTTCTTTTAGCCAAGACTGAACAGAGTAACGCGCCAGGAATCAATTTCGATCGTATGTCACAATATCTGACAAATTTCCTTGTGTGCAGGTTCACAACAGGGTGCTCAAGCAAGAGGAAGTGAAGGTGGTAGTATTGATGGAGGAATGGATGACGTGCAGACTGATTCACGGCCACAAGCTGGGCGCTCGAATTCTGTGTATAAGTATTACTTCAACATTGGAAGTATCGATTCGTTTGAGCGTAAGTTGGAAGATGCACAGGATGCATTAAATGCAGATCCCCATGATTACATTCCTGTTACATATGTGTCGGAGATGAGCTGGCAACAGGAGCTTTTGCGTTTGGCTCCTACTATATTGTTAATAGCTGGATACATCTACTTCACTAGGCGTATGCAAGGTGGTTTTGGGGTGGGCGGAGGTGGTGGTGGTATGGGTGGGCGTGGAATATTCAACGTGGGAAAAGCTCAAGTTACTAAGCTTAGCAAGAAACAGAAGGACAAGGTTTGTGTTCTTCAGAACTCATCTCAAGTTTGTTCGAACTTCTCTACGTTTCGAGAGGATTTCAGCGTGAGATTGCCAACACTCGCTTGGTAGTTACCATAGGCTTTAGTTTCGTTGAGAGATGGGGTAAAAGGTTCTGTTTTGTTCTCTTGAGCTTGTTGTGTATGATCAAGACGTGTCGATAGTGTAAGTTATAAGTGGGAACATGTCGCGTATGGCCATGTACATTTGGTACAGTAGTTGCATTTGTCTTTTTGAAAAGAGGTGTATTTTATTTGATCCTCACAGGTAATGTTCAAAGATGTTGCTGGTTGTGACGAGGCAAAACAAGAGATTATGGAGTTCGTTCACTTTTTGAAAAACCCCAAGAAGTATCAGGAACTTGGTGCTAAAATTCCAAAGGGAGCTCTTTTGGTTGGTCCACCTGGTACGGGAAAGACCTTGTTGGCGAAGGCAACGGCCGGAGAAGCAGGAGTACCATTTCTTTCTATCAGTGGATCAGATTTTATGGAAATGTTTGTAGGGGTTGGTCCTTCTCGAGTCAGAGATTTGTTTGCCCAAGCAAGGCAGGCTAGCCCTAGTATTATTTTCATAGATGAGATTGACGCAATTGGACGCGCTAGAGGACGAGGGGGATTTGCAGGAGCTAATGATGAGCGTGAAAGTACTCTTAACCAGCTTCTAGTTGAAATGGATGGGTTTGGCACAACTACTGGCGTCGTAGTTCTTGCGGGAACTAACAGACCTGACATTTTAGATAAGGCTTTGTTGCGTCCTGGACGATTCGATCGGCAGATTGCGATCGATCGACCTGATATTAACGGAAGGGAGCAGATTTTCAGGATATATCTTCAGAAGCTAAAGCTGGATCAAGATCCTGTTTATTATTCTCAACGAATGGCAGCTTTAACTCCTGGGTTTGCTGGTGCTGATATTGCAAATGTGTGCAACGAGGCTGCTCTAATTTGTGCCAGAAACGAGAAAACAGTGATCACCATGGAGCATTTTGAAGCTGCTATTGATCGAATCATTGGTGGCCTGGAAAAGAAGAATCGGGTACGTGTGGGCTTGAAATTGCATTTAAGGTTTGGTTTTGAATTCTGAGGCTTTGTGCTGACCTTCTAGTTTTATACAGCCTTGTTGCCATCCTGATTGTATAGTCTAGAGGGTTTTGCTTCTTGTTACGAAGATGGTTATATACGTAGAGGAGCTAAGATGAAATGCTGTTGATGCACCAGGTAATCAGCAAGGAAGAAAGGAGGACAGTGGCGTATCACGAAGCTGGGCATGCAGTCACGGGCTGGTTCTTAGAATATGCTGAACCATTGCTCAAAGTGTCAATCGTACCACGTGGTACTGCTGCTTTAGGTTTTGCTCAGTATTTACCAAATGAGAATCTGCTTATGACAAAGGAGCAGCTTTTGGACATGACATGTATGACACTTGGAGGTCGTGCCGCTGAGCAGGTATAGCACGTGTTTTTTTGTCTTTGTCTTGGGTACGCCCTCTTGAAAAGATGCTTAACAAGATGCAGAATTGTTTAGACTGTCAGTATACTTGCAATATACTTGCAATCATGAGAAAATGGAAGTCTTGCTGATCGTTAGAGAAGCAGTTTTAGTTAATGTTGATTTTTTTACTGTTGGTTCGTTGCTTTACACAGGTACTGTTAGGTAAAATATCAACAGGTGCACAGAATGACTTGGAGAAAGTTACGAAAATGACTTATGCACAAGTTGCAGTATATGGGTTTAGTGAAAAAGTTGGTCTTCTCTCGTTTCCACCGAAGGATGACGGCCTTGAAATGTCAAAGCCTTATAGCAATGAGACAGGTGAAATCATCGATAAGGAGGCTCGAGATTGGGTGGCCTTGGCATACGAAAGAACACTCGCTTTAATTACAAGGCACAAAGAAGGTGTGGAAGCCCTTGCACTTAAGCTTTTGGAGAAGGAAGTCTTGCATCAGGAAGATTTGGTAGCCATTTTGGGTGAAAGGCCCTTCAAGCATGCAGAACTTTCAAATTACGATAAGTTCAAACTTGGTTTTCCCTCTTCTCGGGATGACCAGGTTAAACTAGGATCAGCGCAGCCGTCTGAGAATGGCATTCCTCCTGAACACCCGTCATCCCCTCCTCCAACTCCTCCAGGTTTGGATGGGTCTCAGCCTGTACCGGCTATATTGTGAAGCAATGCTTCAGTGGTGTTGCAGCTCATAGAAATGTCATAATGCTACCCGTCCGGTCAGCAACTGCAGGGCTGAGAGAGTTCAAGTTCGATACTTGTTTCTCAACGTTGAAGGTAGTATGCATCAATATGCGTTACGCAGATTGCACCAGCGCTCTCCTCTTTGAGGCTACAAGGCATCTGGAGTGCTTGTTCTAGCAACACTCGCAAGATACGGCGGCTTCTGAGCCTTACATTTTTAGTATGGGAGCAAATAATGTAATTAACTTTGTGTCTTAGTGGTTGATGATTGCGATTGGTACTTCCAAATGTTAAGCAATCGCAAAGGGCCATTCTTCTTGCCACTTGTGCGATTGTTTTCCCTAACAGCATATGCTAGTGATGTTTCGCCATGTTAATATACATAACAGAAAATATAGTGCAGATGAATTTGAAGCTGAAACTGGCTATCGGACCAGAAGACTCTAGCTGATGTTTGTACAAGTGTTCCTTCAAAAGGGCTCTTTTTAAAGTCTACTTCGAGGATTGGTCAATTTAACAGCTTTCTCTATCCTTGATCGTAATTTTGAAGATTGATAAATTGTCACAATGAAAGCCACTCAACTTTCAAAGTGGAAAAGGTGATTTTAAAACTTGACTCACATTGAGACCTGAAAGTGATTAATCTCTGCTAAAACCTTCGATAATTTTACTGAGTTACGGGGAATGTTGGCCACTTGAACTGTATAGTCCGGTGTACATAGGCTGCGAAGAGTCGTTACTACATAAAAAAGTTGAAGCCTGTGATATCCACAACAAATAGTAGAATTATGCTGAACTTGTGCTTGTGTGTGACTCCTGTTGGGACAGCAACAAGCGGAAAGTGTATCTGGAGGCAGCCGAGCCAATTATATAAGTCCACTTCATGGTCATAGTTTCTGTTTTGAAGACCATATCTTCTTCCTAAAAGACACATCGTATAGGTTTTCAACACCTAGTGCATTATCTTTTCATTTAGAATTACGGATTTTCTTAATGATATATAACTTCAATTTACTTAAATTTATGAAAATTTACAAAGATTCCTTCAGTACCTTGTGACACATTTCAACCATTGTGACACGATATGACATTCAATCCCTCAGAAGATTAAATTATTTCATTTTACTCTTTACTTTAAAAGATAATATAATATACGCCCAGGTGAAGACTTATTTCTGTTAGGTAGGATCGCACCACATTCAAAATCTGAAACAAACACCAAATTACATGAAATTTCAAAACGTATCACGAACAATTCTGTTCAGCTTTATGTTCCACACATTTCTATCGTATAAACTGTCACGAAATGTATACCAAGAACGCATAGAATCCATAGTATCTTTCTAAAGAGTAAAGCTTAAGGCTTTCTACTCTATTCCATTAGGGGAAGAGATCTACTTGAATTTACGACATGATACGTTCCCTCAAACACCCAGACAAATAGTATCCATAAAATCAAAGTCGATAAGATCCACGTCTTGTGAGTCAAGGGAGGAAGAAACAAAATACCCTAAACGTAATACCGCATTTTACAACTGGCCAAACCCCATGCGCTCGATACTAAAACCAGAAGCGACGAAGCCCGTTCCTCTCACCGCAGACAAAAAGTGACCTTCTTTGAAATCGATCAGAAGCACACATGCAATCATCAAGGCCTGAGGAGGAGGGGGGAAGAGAGGGAGGCCATAGCTGAGAAGAGTGGCGCTGCGGTTTTCTCGAATACTGTCGATTCGGCCAGACATCCCTGTGGAAAGGACACACTAGGAACAACGTAAAGAATAAGCTTCGCCGTGCCCCACCCTCCCGCTATTCCTCGTCGCCCTGCGAGGGAAAAGTAGGAACAGAGGCAATAGCAGCATTTAAAAGGCAGAGGGGCCACAAATCAACTGGCCTGCAAAGCCATTTCCGGATCTTTTGGGCAGCTAGGGTTCTCGCGGAATCCTCTCTCACACTTGCTGCGCATCGAAACTAGCGCTTCGTGTCCGGCAAGTTGTGGAACCCGAAGGCGTAGTTCACGTGGTGGAAGATGTGCCTCCGCCAGTTCGGTGACGGTGATGGTGCGGTTGTGGTTATGACAGGCTGCGAAACCCGAGAAGGCCTGGGCTGCAGTCCAAGCCCTAAACCTAATCCTAAATCATAAAGATGGGCTTCCACCAAATCAGCACAATGTGGCACCGTATGGTTGCAATTTATGGGATCCCTAGTGAAACATTCATCATATGGATTTATTTTTGTTTCGTTCTCAAGATTGTGTTTTGCATGTGTATATATATAAGTGTGTATATTTTAATGATTTTCATTATTCATGATTAGTAAGATGAGGGACCAGGAGTTGTTGGAATAGCTAGGATTGGGTGAGGAAAGCTTCTCTGACTTTTTTGTTTCTTGTTTTGATTTTGTTTTTGGTTATTCTGTAGCAAAATAAGGATTAAAAAAAAAAAAAAAAAAAAAAAGAAGAAGAAGCAAAACAAAAAAAACAAACAATTGGCTTTGTTACAGAAGGAATTTGTGGTTTGTTGATGATACAAGTATGTGTATGTTTGTAGATAGATAGATGCAAACCAAAAACAATTGGATGATTTTTGAGTGATTGAGATTGTAGATACAATATTATGTATATATATATACGGAATTGTTCAATTAACTAAAGTATTAACAAAATTGATCCACCCATCTTAACCATCATCAAAAAAAAATCTACTAATAGATTTACATTTGTCAAAAACTAATGAAAAAATGGTTGGATCCTCAACCAATGATGATGGTGGGTTAATTTAGTAAATACACAAATCAATGTGACATTTTTTTTTCTTTCTCTCTCTTCCTATATATATTACATTTAGATATGTAACTTGAATCTTTAACAAATATTTTATGATTCCAATTAAAGTAAATAATTGGTTAATAATAGATTATTTTCATAGACAAATAAATAAATTATACCATAGCAATTTCATTCCACCATGACTTATCACAAGCCATTGAATAAGTAAATTATACAATCGAAATTGAGAAAACTAAGAATGAGCTACAAATCTTATTATGTGTGTACTTTAGAGACGATTATTTCTAATATTATTTATTGAACAATGTAAATATATGTCTAAAGCACAAAAATTGCAAAAAGTATGAAGTTAATTTAATCAAAAGAGATGGTAATAAAATGATAAAAGAATCAATGTTATTATTCTTTAAGCTAATTGTCAAGGAGATTTTATACATGATACAAAATCTATATGTTATTGCTGTAGATTGCGAAGAGTAGCATTGCAAGCTCACAAGGTGTAGAACTTGGAAGCTCCCAACAAATAAATAAACTAACAAATATTTGCTATTGGCCATCTTTCTTGTGGCCAATGGCATGGATTTCTAGTATATATATGTATATATATTCTCACATATTCATAAACATATATTCTATATTTTTGTCAACTTACACTTTGTCAACTTACGTTATTTGAACATCTCTTTTAAATGTGAGATTTTGATATATTAGTATTACAAAACCAATATAAAAATATAACAGTAGTAATTTTTTTGAAATAAAAGTAGGTATGTTTTCTTTTCCAATTACTTGCTCACTAATGAGGATGTTGATGTAATTTATTGTTTTCATTGTATTTTCAATTTTTAAACATATGTTCAAGCATTTGATGGAATTGATGGAATTCAATGTTATTTCAGTGGATATTTTTTGTAAAGTTGAGAATGGGTTCACACGGTTAACATACAACATAATATTCTGTAGGTATTGATAACGGGGTTGGTATAATTATTGCAATTATTATCACTATTACTATTTTACATCTGAAAAAATATTTGGAAAAAATGGACCATAACCTAACAACTTTGTTGAGATATCCTAAGAATGTATTATATAATCTTTTTACAATCCTAATATTTCAAATCCATGTTATTTACATCAGTTACAGGTGGATACTAATTTTACAAAAATACTTGTCATTGCCGAATGAATTCAAACAAATTCAAGCTATACATTCCAACACAGCAGCCTGTAATTCTCCTTTCTACCTGAGCTACGTTTGTTGGAACAGTGGCATCTTAAAAAAGGCCATTAGTTATAAATAACTGTCAAGAAGCCTCTCCAAAGCAGATGTGCAGTAGTCTGTCAGAAGAGCGTTTCGACCTCTCCGTTTAAACAACCCCAGGTGCTTTTCCAGTTGTCCACAATAATCTTCTTCCCCAATTGCATATACATATGACATATAATATACATTTACATAGCTGTTGCTTGTTTTAGACATAGAGTGTGTCATTGCTGACAACAGTGGATGTAATGCTGGCGTGGACTAGAAGCTGCATTTAGACTGCTCCATGGTTTTGAACTTGTTGGGAGGTTCTAAAATCAGAATGTTCTCCTATCACATGCCAGGTAACCCGATTCTCAGCGAGGCTGCTGAGTTGTCTGAAACGTGCGTTTGGTTTCCTCAGAATGTACAGTTTCAGGGGGAAATCCAGGGTGAAAACACTGGAGAGATTTCACTGCAGCCTGTAGTGGGACCCTTGCCGAAGACTGTATTTTGCTTGCTCACGACGATGCCCAAGTTTGAACTTAAATCACGATCCTTGCGGAAGTTTGTGTGAGCTCAACTCAGGAAACTAGATGTGGCAAACTCTTCGTCGGACAGAACAGTTGGTTTCAGATACGTCGGGCGCGTATTAGCATTGGTGATGAATAGCGAGATGTTTTGTTTCATGTTGTGATGAGAGTTGATGTCCAAATCAAGTTGGATAACAAGGCGACAAATTCCGAAGCGGGAACTTCTACGTGTGGCGTAGTATTCGGTCGAATATATTTTTGTATCTTTCGGTTGAGTTTACAGTAGCCTGTACAACTCATTATGGACTGCTTGGGAGACCATGCTATCATGACATTGATCCGACGTCTTCGGAACAAAAATCGTGACTTTTCCTCATCTGAAGATTGGAGTAGTTCGTGTTCAAAGTAACGAGACTAAATATTTATAATTGGAAAATTGTCAACTATATTCAGTACGCAGCCCCATCAAACCGGGGTCGAGGACGCTCATTTAGTCGCTATCTTTTCGCATACGACGTGGAGATGCAATGCAGAACAGACAGGAAAAGTTGAACAGATGTTGTACAATCAACCACTAATCTCGCCATCCATCTGTACCATCTTTCAATATTCAAATTCATTTCCGATAATGTAGGGCTATTGCTTGTGCTTGGATGGTTTACATGTTCTGCGAAATCGCCTGGCTTGAATAAGGGAATCAGCGTAACAAGCTGAAATAAGAATCAGAGGGTTGGTAGTTGAAGAATACTCCTAGAACAGCAACCGAGGGCCATCTTTCTAGGCTGAGAAGATGCTCATTGTGGAAAAACCCGGGAAGATAGCATACTCCCAAATCAATTCATAATTCAATGGTCATGTTGCTGTCAGACTGGGTGGCGATTTCCGAAACCCGTCCCCATTGTCGTTATATTCAGCTGGCCGCCAAGACCTCACCCGCCAAGTCCTGCGCCAGTATATCACCTCCAACTGCGTTGCATCCGATATTGCAGCTTAGCCAGAGTCCCTTGTGCATTCATCACGAAGGTTCAGACTTTGGGATCACAGGAGCTTGAAGACCTACTCATCTTTTATCAACGAGTATTGCTCCTCGAGACTTGCTAGTCTGGGCTGCGAACTTCACGATCATCAACGCAGGGATCTGGTACAGCGCAATCGTGTTAGACTTTCGGTGCTGATCGACTAGGGTTCAGCCTTCATTGGAATTAAATCCGTGGTCTTTCGTCGAGTGAGTATTATCGCAACGTCTAACACTGTACTCTATGGATTTTCTCTTGTCGATTGTATTGCAAGGTGACAGATCGCGATAACATTGGGATTTATACTTTCTAACGCTACTTGCCGGGCGCATTGTTTTTCTCTATGCAGGACAGTCGATTTTGATCTTCTTCCGGGTAGATCTCGTCGTCATGGAGAGAGCTTCGTATGCGGTCGCATTGCTGGCTGTTACGTGCTTGATAGCATCAGTGAATGTCTTCGCTCAGTCCAATATTCCTTCGTTTCTGAATGACGTGGAGCCAGATAACACTGCTTGGATGCCAGATAATTCTGGAAATGATGGAAATCCGTCACCACCTGCGCCAGTAACACCCACACCACCCACAACGCCCGCAACTCCCTCACCATCAGCAGGTTCACCACCTGCGTCGACTGGAGCTTGTCCCGGAGATCCTGGATACCAAGAACCATGGGATTCAACTTTCTGGGATAACTTCAACATCGTCACCAATGGTACACACGTACGCGTCAGTGCCGACGGAGACGCCTGTGACATGCAGCTAGATGCAGATTGTTCTGCGGTGTTTGGATCTAAATATCAGTACTTCACTGGGTATTTTAGTGCTAAGCTTCAGCTTCCATGCGGCAACTCATCTGGAACTGTGTTCGCATTCTACGTAAGTCCCGTGTGTTCTATCCTAAGCCCTGAATCCGTACAATTAGATTTCTCCACCGTGATCGCAGCCAGTGTGCTCCTAATTGTTGTGAGAGATCTACATCGCAGTGGGAAAGGCGCAAAAGTTGTTTAGTTAGACTAAGATGAAGCTTGTAGTCTCGTCTCATTCAGTGGGTACTCCGAAAGGGAATGCAAGCAGTAATGTGCTTACGAATGAATGACTAGACTAATTTTTGACCTTCCCTTCCTATGCAGACCTCTTCGGATGGGAAAATGGATGACCATGACGAAATTGATATTGAATTGCTTGGTAACGAAACCTCCAAGCACATCACTATGCAGACCAATATCTTCATCAACGGTGTCGGTGATAGGGAAATGCGCCACAACCTTGACTGGTTTGACCCATGCACCAGCCATCATGACTACTTCATCAAGTGGAATTCCAACATTGTCGTGTAAGTACTTACGATCTTGTGAGCATCGTGTAGTTATCTGGTGCGCGATTTGACCCACTACACCCTATCATTCCCGCTGACACTGTCTGTACGTGGAATCGCAGAGTTGGAGTTGATGATATCCCTCTCCGCGTTCACATGAACAATGAGAAGAACGGTCTCCCATATTTTAACAAGGGACAGGGATTGTACGTGTCATACTGGGACGGAAGCAGCTGGGCTACTCAAGGTGGTCGCATCAAAATCGACTACGCGATGAACGCGCCGTTTATTGCTAATTTGAACGGGTTCCATCACATGTCGGCTTGCCAGGTTCCGAGTGAGAGGGACCTCGGAAGTTGCAAATACCCTGCTGTGGCTCCATGCTGGGACAGGCCATCTGATCATTACCTTACCGCGAAGCAGAAGACCGATTTCGAGTGGGCGAACAACAACTTCTGTATCTACGACTACTGCAAGGACGACCAGCGATTTGCCTCGACGGGAAAACCAGCAGAATGCAACATCCCACTCTATTAGATCTCATACTCTTCTTCGAGCATCTGTCTGGGCCCCAGTGGCATTCATTCTAAATAAGTAGCATCCCACTTAGACATCGCTAATTTAATTCATTGGTGTTGCTGTCCCCCTGCAGTGGTCCAGCATTGCAAGATGGGGGGTTATTGATCGAGTCACGATGCTCGGGGAACTCGTTGGGAAAGGGTGCTGGAGTGGTCGCACTGCCGCCTCCCATTGCATTAGATGTCTAGCGGCGTTCAGCGAACTGAAACATATTTGTACTAGAGTGCTTAACAATTCCTTTCTCCCAGTTTTTAATACTCGGGATGACTTATTCTTCACTCTTTTCCGGGCCTTCTTCTATTTTATGGTTGATACTCCGTGATCTTCTTCATGCAGCTAATTTGGACAAGTCTGCTTGTTGTTGATTTCTCGTTAATTTCAATTGCGTTGTGACAGCTAATTACCGTCGTGTTACAAATGTGTGCTTTCATTCTCCCGCTCAACCCAGTTCATCATTTTTTACTATAACCTATACAAGTCTGTTCTAATTTGTTGGTTTGTTTGTTTGTTTTTCTCAGCGCAAACGCATTGATTGGACATAGGAGTAGAACCTTCTCTTGCACATAGCAACGCGTTTTTTCTATCAAATTGCGGAATTTAGCACAATTGCTGTTGTCCAACATTGTAGAGTAAAAATTGTTAATGGTGCGTTACAAGTGGGCAAATTCTTTTCTATGCTTGTGAACATTTGCAATAACACCATATGCTTTACGGCACTCAGTACAAATGTCACTCAACCACAGCAGTAAGAAGTTCGGAGAAATGAGATGAGCACACTTACAATTGTAGCAAATGAAAGACTAAAATACTGTAATCTCATACTGAAGGTCTATTGTACCAACGGTATTACCACTGTGCCACCTAGAAATTCAACAACCAAGATTTGAATATAATGAAACTGTCATTTCGGGATAAACCCAGAAAAATGTTTGCAAAAGTATATGCAGCTGCGGAAAATGTGCCATTCGTTAAGAGCGAATTCGACGTGGCATTAACTAGTACTGCAGACAATATCTTTTTCCCCTCCTGTATCTAGAAGTCCCTGATCATGCACATCCAAAGAGCTCCTGGTTACAATCACTTAAGGCGGAGAAACGCCACAGTAACATGCTGTGTTTACCTCGAGGAGGCAGAGTAAGCGGGTTCGAACCACGGTTGAAGGCCTCGGTTAGGGTTTGGCGTTGCACCAGCCTCTTCGTTCACACCTGGTGTAATACGTTTGTTGTTGCTGTTGTCTCTTTACTTCCATCTGACAATTTTTTAGTCCGCTAGTCATTCGATGCATCGGTCGGTCCCTAGATTCTTCTTACTTTGCTCGTAATGGGTCGCTCTTGATTCGGAGAATCGGAACCTGAATCTTGTGTGTTGAGTAGTTGGAGGTGGATGTGAAGTTGGGGTGGAAGTGGAGTAAAGGGGAGTTTTGGTCGGTTCGTGTGTTGCTTGATCGGTAACTGTTCATGAAGTAATCAATCATGATCTTCCCGTATCAACTGTTAAGAGGTGCTAGTCTATTACAACCTGGGTTCGGGGCTCTCGTCTTGTGATGTAAAATGTGGGATCGGATTACGCTACTTGCAGAGTATTCATAACTTGCGAAGTTGGAGGACGCAAATGCGGAATGAGATTACTCGCATTTGATTTAGGTACGTCTTCGCAATGCCCATATTTAGGGTTTTCAGAGTAGTCAGCTGCTGATCAGAACTGCGTTGTTTTTCGTTGCTGCGCTTCTTTGGCGCTTCTTGAAACCCGTTCAGATACTTGAGGGACCTGGCTCTTCTCTTTTTTGTTTCGACGGTGAAGTATTCAAGATTACGTATCTATTTGTTAGTTAATTTTAAATTTGAGGCGTGCGCTCAATTTTTTTTTTCTTTTTCGGGCGCTACCTCGGCTTGTCTTTCTTTGTTTATTTGAGTATCTGTTTGTTTGTTGCATTTTCATACAACAGCTGTTCCAGTCCTCAGAATATCTCATGGGCCGAGAGGTTTTACTTTTGAGGGACTTACCTGCCTTTGATGCGTTCTTTTTTATTTAATTTATAATTGTACTTCAGTGTATATTTTTTATGCAAAGAAATTACCTCCTGAACATGTTGAAATAACGTCTCAAGCTAATGAAATCTTGTAGCTAATACCCAATTTCTCTCACCTAAAACATTTTTCTAGTTCTCTTCTTATTCTCCTTTTCTTTTTTATCCAGTTTGGGTGTATTCTTCAAAACCTTTGTCATTTCATAAATCTGACTGCGATAACAAGTCCGATTACCGAGAAGTTGCTCTGCACAAGTTCAAATTTTAAGATCTCGTTCAGCTTTGTTTCGAGGATGGTTGTCGTAGCGCTATATGAATTCCAAGAAGAAAAACTCGTTAGGCTTTTATTTGCTTGGTATATGTGATTATCAAACTTCGAATTGAGGTTTATGTTGTTAGGTATCATCTGGTAATGTAGCAAAGTGTTTTTGGAATGCAATGCAATATTTTTAACAATGCCTCTAGCTATTTCGAAAATAAATCTGATATGAGATATTTCAATCAGGGTTTAGTAGCTGGGAGATGAGAATCAGAATGCAATGAAGCCTAATGGCATAGGACTTGGAATGGCTTGGCCGGAGTCACAAGTTGCACAGCCGCAACAAGCGAATGGGGTACGGGAAAGAGAACCAACTACTGATAATCAACGGCTGAAAAGGCGGTCTTCTTCTGGGTTTTTAACGAATGACGGGAATATGGGACCACTCGCGGTTCAGAATTCATTTTTACCCACCAGTTTGGGGGTTCATCATGCTCCTTGGAAGGAGTCACTTTCATTTGCATCTATTCTTAGATCTCGCAACAAAATCGTTGGTTTGTACATCATTTAATTCCCCATCACTTTTGTTTTCTGTTTTTTCCTTTTCCTTTTCTTGGTCTGCTGCTGTTTTCCTTATCTTGTCCTGTGTTGGCACGTTATATTTCTCATACTTTTACATTCCACCAGTCTGCTTGGTTCTAGCCTACTGATTTTTTCACTTAATTCTACAGATGCGTTGGCAATATATGAGAGTATTTTGGAGGTGGAGCCTCAAAATGTGGAAGCTCATGTTGGAAAAGGAATTTGCTTACAAGTCCAGAATCTTCCTCGGCCTGCATTTGAAAGCTTCCGAAAGGCTTTACAGCTTGACGCTCAGAACGCTTGTGCTCTGACTCATTGTGGAATTCTTTATAAAGAGGAAGGTCACTTGCTTGAAGCAGCGGAGGTAATTGCTATACACGGACTTGACTCACTTGGCTAGCCCATGTGAGATGATACTTGTGTTTTCCCTCGTCTTCCTAATCAGTAGGATTAATTATCATGTTTAAGTGGAGTATCATCACATTGTTTTCACTAAATTGAATTGCAGTTGTCGAAGAGTATAGTTAGTTTCAACACAACGAATCGTACTAATTGTGCTGTACATTGGAATTTCTCAGGCATATCGCAAAGCCCTAATGGCAGATCCTACTTACAAAGCAGCTTCAGAAAACCTAGCTGTAGTGCTCACTGATTTAGGCACTAGTCTTAAGCTATCTGGTCATGTTCAAGAGGGTCTGGCAAAGTACTATGATGCCTTGAAGGCAGACAGTCGCTATGCCGTAAGTTGACGTCGGCTCTGCCATGCTAATTTTCTTTTGAATGAGATTCCATTGGATTTTATTTTTATTTTTTTATTTTTTTTATTTTTTAAATGCAGATCATCCTAGTTATTACTATTGATGCCTGTTTTGTACTTGCTTGTTCTGAAAAGGATCTATCTTGGAATGCTTATGTGCTTTTCTCTTTTGTACTAGTCGTATTTTTTAGGGGTTTTTGGGGTCAATTCTCATGCCCCAATTTTACAGAGGATTGTTGCTGGCTTGCTGATACATATACGGATTAGTTAAATTGAGGTGGCTCGTTTACCACCCTTTAGTAGAGAATACATATTGAAAATTAATTCATAGCCTGTTTGGTGACATGTTTGCAGCCAGCATATTACAATTTGGGAGTTGTCTATTCGGAAATGATGCAATATGACATGGCTTTGAGTTGTTATGAAAAGGCAGCTGCAAATAGGCCCATGTATGCAGAGGCTTACTGCAATATGGGAGTTATCTACAAGAATCGTGGTGATTTAGATGCGGCTATTTCTTGTTACGAAAGGTGCGTAGGAAAGCTTAGATTAGTTTTTCTGTTTTACACTGTTCGATGCTTGGAGTTATTCACTGTTTAAGTTGTTGAAATTCTGTGAGACAAGTTCACAAGTTGTGATGCACTGTTATCCAGTTGGAAAATTTGAACTCCTGGGATTAGAGTATGTATTTTGAATGCTGCTTTGCTTCTTTTTCGAGCAGGTGCTTGGCAGTGTCTCCTAATTTTGAGATTGCGAAGAACAACATGGCCATTGCTTTAACAGACCTGGGGACCAAGGTACTCTACTTCCATTTTTCTGGCGTTTATTTCAACATTGTTTACAATGCAGACTGTATAAAGGATGTAAAATTGAATATCCTGGTTTCCTGCGGCTCTACTACTTACCAGTGGCTTACAGGATTTCTCTGACTTAATATGAACAGGCAGCATGTAGCGAAATGTTAAATGGATCATCATGATGCAGGTCAAGATAGAAGGAGACATCCATCAAGGAGTAGCATGCTACAAGAAAGCCCTTCTTTATAACTGGCACTATGCGGATGCTATGTATAACTTAGGGGTTGCATATGGTGAACTGCTCAAATTTGATATGGTGATTTGCATCTTTCACCGGATTTCTTTTAATACTGTTGTTTTTGCTGATCTGCATACCAGCGTACAATCATCTGTATGGTAACTTTGGCAGCAGTATGAATCGATCTCCTAGTTTGTGAAATGAGCTGCAATGGAATTTGATAAAGAATTCTAATTGCCTTGGGAGTTTCTCTATGCTGCTCTATTTTCAATTCATGTTTGTAGATCAGGGTTATGTGTTCCTGTCTCGTGTATGACGACGGAGGTAGCGTTTTCAATAACGATCATTTCTTCACAGGCTGTAGTGATGTACGAGTTGGCTCTGCATTTCAATCCTCACTGCGCAGAAGCTTGCAACAACCTGGGTGTTATTTACAAGGACCGTGACAATCTAGATAAAGCTGTTGAATGTTATCAGGTGCGTCTGTTAAACATTACTATTGCCGCTTTGTTTGCCAAGTCGGTTTCTTAGGCAATTTTTTAAAATGTGTGTGTCTTAAACCATTTACTTGGTTGTCAACTGTACAGATGGCTCTGCAAATTAAACCGAACTTTTCTCAGTCGCTCAACAATCTTGGGGTTGTCTACACTGTCCAGGTAGGTTTTACTATGTCAAAAATCCCATTAACGTTTAATAGTTGTAAGCCCTCGTTTCACCATGTTTGTTTTGTACTCTTTCATGGTATCTTCGTTCTCTTGTGAAATTCTGTTTGCTGGTATTTTTAGACTGAGTTAGTGAGCTGGAGTTGGTGGAAGTAGTTGGAAGTTGTAGAGAAGTATTGGGTTCATTTGCGTTGCAATCGTTAAACAGGGAAAGATGGATTCCGCTGCTAGTATGATTGAGAAGGCCATTTTGGCTAATCCGTCTTATGCCGAAGCCTACAATAACCTAGGTACGTTGCCTGGTTTTCTTGTCTAAACTCTTCAGCCCATCTTTGCCTGGTTTTCGACAATGTCGGTATAACTTGCGGTACTTGCATTTATAAGAATGGAACTTGCTTATTTCAAATTATTCTATTTCAGGCTCGTAGAACGTAGCATATCCACTGCTTTTTCTTTGTGACAATGATTAATCTGGGTTCAGTTACTACATGTAGCTGTTACTAGTGGTGGGGTTAATCACTCATGTAGTTCTTAAACACATCTGGTAGCTTTGTCACTATGAAGTCTGTTTTCGTCGTGAAGTGGGTAGAAACTCAAGAGTTTATGGCTTGCAGGTGTACTGCATCGGGATGCGGGTAACATTCCTCTTGCTATCGACGCATATGAACGTTGCTTGGTCATTGATCCAGATTCTCGGAATGCGGGCCAGGTGCAAATGCTTTTTCTGTTCCTTGTTCGTGAAAGTCAAATTGTTGTAATTTTGAAATATACTGTCACTGTCAATCGGTAAATACTCTAATGCTGGTCAATTCTGGAGTTTCAGAATCGTCTGCTGGCTATGAATTACATCTACGAGGGTGATGATGACAAACTCTACAATGTTCACAGGTATAATTAGGTCTTATCTTGAATAATTGCCGTTCTATGAGCTTATATCAAGTCTTCGATAAGTTACATTTCAATGGAAGCATTTAGTGCAGTGATGATCAACAGTTGCTTTCACAAATATTGTCTTCTATTGGTACTGGAATCTTACCTATTCCTAAATTGTAAGACACGCCTAAAGTTGAGGTTTTGCTCTTGCATCTGATGAACTTCATGTATACACAGTGATTGGGGAAAGCGTTTCAGTCGACTTTATCCTGAATTTACGACTTGGAGCAATTCAAAAGACCGAGACCGTGTTCTGACGATTGGCTATATATCTCCTGATTACTTTACTCACTCTGTGTCTTACTTTATTGAAGCTCCTCTGCTACACTACGATTTCACGAATTTTCACCTAGTGGTATATTCTGCAGTTGTCAAGGTATATCCTATTTTTCATGCTCAACGAAAATGGCCTTGGTATGGTTTTCATTTAAGTTCAATTTTTGTCGCCAAGCGGATCTCTTAAATAGCATTGCACATCTGTAGTGTAAATGGCAAGATCGAGATGTCCTTGTTATTCTCACGCGAGATTTTGGTTTGTCTCAGACGGATGCAAAAACGCAGCGATTTAAAGACACTGTTCTAAAGAAAGGTGGTGTTTGGAGAGAAGTCTATGGTATTGATGAGAAAAAAGTGGCTAATATGGTTAAAGAGGATAAGGTAGATATTCTCGTAGAACTTACTGGACATACTGCTAATAATCGTCTTGGAGTTATGGCACGCCGACCTGCTCCTATTCAGGTACTCTTTGCTTCTTAATATCACACTTCTGATCCACTTTAATGTGTCTATGCAGAGTATAAGCTTTATCTTCCATTTATTTGAGATATCATGGTGCAATTTCTCTGTTCCTTTTTCTTGTCTGAACTCTGTAACGATCCTTTTGTCTTTCTGTCTCTTGATCCAGATAACTTGGATCGGATATCCCAACACGACTGGCTTATCAACAATCGACTACCGTTTTACAGACGCGTTGGCAGATCCACCAAACACTACACAAAAGTAAGTGACCGCTGTCTGTAAAGTGCGGTGAATTTGTTTTGGAAATTCTCTGTTCTTCCATAATCTTCAAAGTATCTTTTCGTATATGGCTTACAGATGTTTTGGGTCTTGAAGGCATGTTGAGGAGCTTGTACGGCTACCAGAGTGTTTCTTGTGCTACACCCCATCCCCAGAGACTGGACCTATTGTTCCATCACCTGCTCTCAGTAACGGTTTTGTCACATTTGGTAGCTTCAATAATCTCGCTAAGGTAACTTGCTTACTTGATACTTTTGTTTGAAGTCCCAGGTTCTGTTTATTCCTCTTTTCATGGAAATACCATAACACATCATTTGTGGGAGGCTTGCATTGACGCAATATGTGCAATCATAAGTATAATCACCAATTATCCAATTTTTCTGATTTTATCTAACTTTAGGTCTCCGTAGCTGACCACGCTTTGAATCATATAGGTCTTTGGAACCCATCATTGTAGCGTGGCTTGTGCGCAGTTAACTCCGAGGCCAAATTTTTAGATATAACATTATTCATAATGCTAAAAGCACGAGAAGCGCTACAAGGGATTGGTGGTAACTAAAATAACACATTTATAGGACACATTATGTACCCTTTGTGGGTGAATTATTCTAACTCTGATAGTGTACATGTCTTTTCTCCTTGTTCACCAATGTTTCGCATTGTTTATGATCTATTATGCTGACAGCGAATGACGCCCAATTGGATTATGTTTTGCAGATAACGCCACGTGTACTACGAGTGTGGGCAAGGATACTCATTAAGGTGCCCACTGCCCGACTTGTGGTAAAGTGCAAGCCATTTTGCTGCGACAGCGTTAGAGATACCTTTCTGTCGAAGCTTGAAGAACTAGGTGTAAAATCGCTTCGAGTAGATTTGCTACCATTGATTCTTCTCAACCATGATCACATGCAAGCCTATTCTCTAATGGATATAAGGTGACTTTATTCCTCAACATTAATGGTGCATTAGACAACCTGAGTATGGGTTTATTGGATAGTGTCTAATTTCTGAACAGCAGTCCCCTTGACAGACCTGGGTACACAAGGCATGAGCAGGTTTTCCACACATTTATCGATTAACGTTGAAGGTCATCTTTATAAATTTCTGATCATCAGTCAATTTCGTGTGCAGTTTAGATACGTTTCCATATGCAGGCACAACCACTACGTGTGAGTCGCTCTATATGGGTGTGCCCTGTGTAACAATGGCTGGGAAGGTCCATGCCCACAATGTGGGCGTCACACTCCTGCATCAAGTTGGTAAGTAAACTAATGTTATAAGCTTCTTTTCCCGAATGTCGTACCATCAGTGCACTAAATGATTGTCAGCAATGTGGGCCCTCAAGTTTAGTATAGGTTTTTACTTTCATTTATTTTCCAAGTAATACTCTTTAATTTTTGTAATATTTTTTCTATTTTCAGGTTTGGAGAATCTTGTAGTAAGGACAGAAGACGATTACGTAGACAAGGCAGTACAGCTAGCATCAAACACCTCTTCGCTTGCAGCTCTACGAAACGGACTCCGTGAAAAGATGCTGAAGTCGTATCTTTGTGACGGCCCCAAATTTGTCAGGGGGCTTGAGGATACGTATCGGCAATTGTGGCATCGTTACTGCGATGGGGATGTTCCATATGAGACAAGGAAGAAGGCAGAGAATAATGCTCTCGTAAGTCTCTCAGCGAGCGCCGATTTGTCAATGGAGGCTGTCTCTACCCCACCTCAGTTAAACTCAGCCATTGTGACCCCCACTCCCTCGCCCACTTCAACATTATCCATGACAGATGGTAATACTTCGAGCGAGACCCGTGCTAAGTGCCAGAAGCTAAGTCCATCTAGCTGACTCGAACATCGTGTATCTCCCACACTCAGGGGAGAGTAGCGGTAGTCAGGTGCTGGATTCTTTCAGATCCATTGCATTTTGCTCTTAACAGAGCGATTTCTTACCTGTGGACACTTCCACGCAGACTCCTCTCGTGTCTAGGAGTGAGTCGTATGGATTCATTTTGATGAGGTGGTCTGCCACTATTGAATTATTTAAACTAGTGCGTGCCTACTGAAACCAGTACATTGAAGCAGACAGCCATGGCTCCCATGAGTATTTGTAGGCATTCATCAGATCTAACGCCTTAATACTTGTGTCTCATCTTTATCTCTAAATGTTGATTGTGATGTTAGTCTTTGAAGGAAGATGCTTGTCTTTATCCCATTGCACCTTTTTTGCAATATCCATATATTCTTGGTGCCATGGGAAATGATTAACTCTAAATGAGCTTTGCAACACTGTTAACTTTATTTAAACTTTGTGAAAAGAAAATAGTAAAATGTGTTAATTTGATATAAAAATTAAGCTACATTGTAGACCACATATGTACATTTCATTGTGTTATATGTATATATATATATATATATATATATAATGTAGTGTAGTTTTTAAACATATATAAAATATTTCTTAATCATAAAAGGAACTAATTGAATTTTACCTATCATCAATTAATAGTCATAGAATTTATAAAAATTACATTAATTAATTTATTATTTTTTTATATAAAAATATTAATCATTATTTCTAATAATAATACTTTGTTTGTGATATGAGTAAAACTTGTGTTTTAATATATATATTTAAAATTAAAATCAAGAATGTATATGTAAAATAGAAAACAAAATTTAAAATTTATGGAGTTGGATGTATATTACTAATCAACTACAACAAAATAGTCAATATATATTTTGGTTTGGAGATGAGTATGGATATGATCTAAGGAGGTCTTTACACTTATAAGCCCACTTTAAATGACTATGGTGCAAAAAATACAAAGATTCTTAGTTTGGTGATTTTTTTTTTTTTTTTTTTTTTTTTTTTTTGTGGTCTTGGCCTTTGGATATAGTATAAAGTGAAAAAAGAGCACAAAATGGGCAACTTATTTTCTTATTCTTAATTCAAATATCCAACTTTGTATCTTGATTTTAAAAATTATCAAAAACACAAAATAAAATATAACTATTTTATTTTTTGACTGGAAACTTTGACATAGTTTTTTAAATTTTTGTAAAAACTAATTCTTGAAAAAGACCCAATAAAAGTTTTAAGGGACATAAAGTTCATATCAAGTAAAATAAAGTACTTTCTATCTTGTCTTTTCTTCTCAAGGCCTTTGGACTAATATTTGTAAGTATAGAGCTAACTCAATATGACTTATTTGTTTCAAACAATTATAGGATTTAAAACTTAGGACTTCTTACCTTGTCCTCTAAGTATAAAGTTTCTCTAACATTTATAAATAGTTTACAAACATAGAACATGCTAGAAGTATATTAAAAATGTATAAATAAGATAGAAGAAAGAAATGTTCATAAATAAGATTAAAAAAAAAAAAAAATGAAGTATATAGATGATGTACATTAATTTATAGAATAGAAAATATTTAAATAGATACAATTTAAATTAAAAGTATTCAAAGATATTTGAGAAATAGTGTTTATATTAATCCAAAATTATATATATATATATATATATATATATATATATATATATATTAAAGTGATTCATCCATTTACTAAATTGATCTATCGTATTTTAATTATCATTAAGAAAATGGATTATCTCTTGAAACCATCACTACAATCATGGCCATCATTCCCACCTCCTCATTCTTAGCTCCAACTTCCTCTGGTTTGAACCTTCATCTCTCTCTCTTTCAATTCATCCTATTCCAATTCCTCTATACCTTCTTCTTCTTTTACCTTAATTAATTTTCAATCCTCTTAATCTAACTCCTTGTCAAGGACAAAGACTCGATGAGGGAAAATATACACCAAAAGGCTATCTCGATATAATAAGTCAAAATATAAACAAGTAGGTATATTAAAAGGAAACTAGAATGGCTATTGCCACAAGACAAGAAACTAAAGACTCTTGAACCTGGACTAGAAGCAAGAAAGGAGTTGACAAGAGTGAAGAAGCCTTCACTCTTGTCTCTATATATACTATCTAACTAGGGGCTACGTGGCGACGTTCTATAGGACCTCCAATATGTGTTGACTTTGTAGGACACATGCCTTGACTTACAAGGCAAGTTTTTCTACGTGTGGGCCACATAGTTAGCTTGATCTTCAAGCTAACAACATGTGTGGCACATGGCCAACTTGTTGACCACGTTTCTAATCCAAAAAGTCAATTAAAGACACCTATGAAGTCAAAGCAGCGTCTAGGAAGTTTCTAGGAAGCTTCTATATTAAATATTATAGAATTAACTTACTTTTATCTACTTTTACTTACTTCTACCTATTTCTATATGTAATTATTAGCTTACATGATTATGGCCGTGACATTACCCCCCCTTCTAGAGACGAGTTCCACGAGGAGCGGTCATCATATGTTGAGGAAATCTATGATGCGACGAATTGTATTCGCCACATACTCTCATCTCTGTTCTCTTCGAAGATGATTGATAGGGCCTCTCAACCATTGGTAGTGTCCCATACTAGGGCGGGAAGACCACCCAATTATTTGATCATTGTTGAGGCCTTCGTAACTTCCTTCGAATAGAATATTCGAAACACCATCAGGAGTTATTCCTACCTCTAGCAAAATCACCAAACATCGGGAGTCCCTTCCCAAATCGTGATACCAAACGCATTGTATCTCACCATCTGTTCGAGGAAGAACATGTCGTTCTTGAAGATCTTCATCTCGATTGCGTCGTCTTGAAGGTTGTGACAATCGTAATGTCTCGTCCGGCAGGTCAGTAAACGAAGGTTCTTGAGTTGAATCCGCTGGTTGTTGGCTCTCCATCTAATTAGTGTCACAAATGCAAAGAAGTTACAAACAAGGATAAGAAATTGAATGTTATCTTGCCTCAATCTTGTCTCTTTTATAAGAGAGATTTTCATCTTGGTTTTGATGAATGTCGTTGATGAAAAACTTTGACTTTAGCTGATGCATTTCCTAGATTCCTAGATGGCTCCCATGTGCGTTCACTAATATCATATCCGTGCCAATGAACAAGATATTCCAGCTTATTTCGGTGTCGCCTTGAGTCTAATATCTCTTCCACCTCAAATTCTTCATTATTATCTACTTCTATAGGAGGCGGTGGCATTTGTCTTCTTCTTTGTATATCTATTGTCTTATATGGTTCAAGAAGAGACACGTGGAATACAAGATGGATCTTCATTGACTCCGGTAGATGTAACCGATATGCAACTGGGTTGATCTGTTCAGAAACAGAAAAGGGGCCAAGCCTACGATAGTCCAACTTGTCACAAGGTCGAGTAGTCTTGATATTGCGACGAAGTAGCCATACCTTATCACCCACGTTGAGTTGTAGTTGCTCCTTACGATATAGATCTGCGTTTATCTTTTGTCGTTCTTGAGCTTCCTTCAATTGCGTCTTCATTATTGCATGTAACTCTGACAACCGATTTGCCATATCTTGTGCTGTAGGATTATCAACTTTTGAAAAATCAAAAGTATCAAGTCGTGGATGATAGCAATAATTGGCAAAGAAAGGTGTTTGTTGCATGGAAGAATGTACCGTATTATTGTAAGCAAACTCTGCCAATGGCAGAAGGGTTATCCAATCATCTTGTTGGTAGTTGATAGTACAACTTAAATATTGCTCCAAGACTTGGTTTACGTGCTCTGTTTGTCCATTAGTTTGAAGATGGAAAGCCGAAGATAGCTTTATGTCCACTTTTAAAATCTTGAAAAGGGTCCTCCAAAATCTTGACACAAATTGAGTTCCCCTATCTGATATGATATCTTTAGAAAATCCATGATAGCGATAGATATTATCAATGAAAAGCTTAGCTGTTTCTTCACCTGTGATAGATTTTGTACATGGCACAAAATGTGCCATCTTGGTGAAACGATCTACTATCACAAATATAGAATCATAAGATCTTGAGCTTGGAAGATCTGTGATGAAATCCATAGAAATAGAAGACCATGGTTGTTCTGGTATAGGTAATGGGTGAAGAAGTTCGTAAGGTCGATGACGAGGAATTTTTGATCTTGAAAAAATATCACATGATTGTACAAAGTCTTTGACTGACTTCCACATTTGTGGCCACCAAAAATCTCTTGATATGAGTTCCAAAGTCTTATTATATCCAAAGTGCCCTGCTGCTGGAAAGTCATGACGTGCTTGAAGAACACGTAAACGTGCTTCTCCTTTTGGAACATATAGGCGTCCTTCAAAATATAATAGATTATTCTTGAACTCAAACTTAGAAGGATCATGAGACTTGGAAGAATTATTCTCGATATCATAAACAAGAGCGTCTGAGGACATATTAGACTGGATTTGCTTGAGAAAAGTTGAATCAACAGTCAATGTTGATTTCATTGCTCGGAGATGAAATTGCTCCGGTTTCAAGAGTACCATTCTTTGTTGCTCAAAAGCTGCATCTCCTTCTTTTGGTGCAAAATAAGAACGTCTAGATAGGGCATCAAACAAACCTTGTTGTTTTTCTGGTCGATAAGTGATAATGAACTCGAATCTTGATAAAGACATACTCCAATGAGCTTGACGACGATTCAACACGCGTGCTGACATGAAATACTCGAGGTTCTTGTGATCTGTATGTACAGTGACTGGACTAAAAGCGCCTTCTAGATAATGATGCCATTCTTGAAAGGAATCCACGATCGCAAGAAGTTCTTTATCGTGGATCTCATAATTGATCTCGGCTGCTGAGAATTTTCTTGAATGAAAAGCTATCGGATGAAGTTTGTCATCTGTTCCCATTTGTCATAAAACCGCACCCAAGGCAAAATCTGATGCATCTGTTTCCATAAAAAATGCCTTGGAAAAATCAACACGATATAAGACTGGTGTAGAGACAAACGATGTCTTTAAGGCTTCAAATGCTGCTTCCGCTTCTTGATTCCATTGGAATTTATCTTTACTAGTCAAGCGTGTAAGTGGAGCTGCAACTCGTGAGAAATCTTTGATGAAGATCCGATAGTAATTGGCAAATCCCAAGAAACATTGGACATCTCTTACTGTCCTTGGAATCTTCTGATCCATGATTGTTTGGACTTTCTTAGAATCCATCATGAGACCATCATTTGAAATGATGTATCCTAAAAAGTCAACTTGAGTAGTGTGAAATACACACTTTTCCAACTTGGCGTACAATCCTGCATCTCTAAGTTTTTGTAATACTTGACGAAC